ATTCTCCATGGTGTTAACTATCTTCACCAGAATAATATTTTGCATTTGGATATTAAAAGTAAATCTAACAAGAAAGCTTTATTAAGATGAAAATTTAACACAGTGGCGTTTTAGTATCTTTTTTTTTTCAATTGCTACAATGTTTGTAATTTTAGTCGTTTAATTTGTATAATCGTAAATATCGGCGAATAATACACTCTTTAATAACTTGTTTAATAACCAAAAAACTTTATACAATTCTGATATTTAATTAAATTTTATTAAATTTGCATTCATATGCTTTTAATGCACTTACTTGCAGGTAGTAACATCCTAATGGATGAAAACTGGGATATAAAAATCTCAGATTTTGGAATATCCAAATTATATAACGATAGTGGAGCTCCAATAAAGTATGGAACAGTGTCATATATGGCTCCAGAATTAATTTGTAACTATGGTAATACAATAACAAAATATATCAGCAGGGCCGATATTTGGTAAGTAAAATTTTATATTTAAAGATTATGTAAATTTAAACTTTAACTTAAGGGGATATGCTCCTTACAAAAATCACCAATTTCCTGATTTTTCTTCATCGTGGGTTTCTTGCACTTTCGGATAGATTGTCCATTTTTGTTTTAAGAAACAAAAAACTTGTGTGAGTTTGATATACCATAATTATGACTCTATTAAATAAATCATTATCATTGTTTCCAAATCTTACAAGCTCTGTACAAAAATTTTATATCCGTCAACATTTTGTGTTTGACATCATTGGAAAGCTGCATTTCTCAGGTATTTGATAATGTTACGTGCTTGATTACTAATTCTTTCCCGTAACACCCGGATTCTAACAATGTCGGTCTCTGGACTGATTAATCTAAATAATAACTACACAGGTCAACTAAGACAGAAACTGTAAATGAACTCGTTTACTTACGTCTAGGGTGTGAAATAGAAAGTAAGAGCTTCTAAATAAAATAGAAAACTTTTATTCAGAACAGAAACTATCTAAAATGCAGCAAGCTTAATTACAAAACATACAATGAGGAAATATATAAGAATCACCTAATCTACGATCAGCTATAAAAACTTCTAGATTTATTCAATAACCAAACTCTCAACAACACGGAGTGAATAAAAATGACATTAAAAATACAAGAATGTTGAAAACCCAACTTACTGTCTCATGAATATCACATACACATCTAACTACAACTGGCAGTAGATAGGATGACTAATTAACTAACACAGCCTTCACATGGAAAATAAGATACGGAATACAAATGTAATTCTAAGTAATTACTGACTAGTTTACTACAAAAACATGGATGCCTTCCTCTCTCGCACTCTCTGAATGTGTCGCCTCGTGTCAGTCTGAAATTCCTTTCTTATACCTCTCTATCACAGATGGATTATGGGATAGTGTAACTAAGGACAAGGACTATGAGAGGGGGGGGGGAGGGAGGTCAAGACACAAGTATCACGAGCACAGTCGTGAACACCTTCAAATGTGTCTGAACGAAAATCAAATCATTTAATAAATAAGGAGCTCAAGGCCAATTTAGTACAAATAAATTCACATGCATTTAAACTATTAAAAATAAATAAGTAGGTCACAATAAGCATATTTACAATAATCTCGGAAACACCCAAAGCTTACAAACTTAAACTTTTTAAAATAGAATAGAATCTTGTAGAAAAAAGAATTGCGCACTAAGTGGGCGCCAAACAATCTGTGTATAATAGTGCGGAATATTATTAGTACTTGATAAATTAACATGCATTTTTGTTTAGAGAAATCGGAAATAGCGAAAATTACTATTTAATTTACCTTCAACTTAAATTACTCAAAATTTGACAGAAGACAGAAAGTTAGATCGTTTACTTACATTCATTTGAAATGTCGTTTATCTATCTGAAACACATATAACACAAGTTATATGCTTTTGAAAAACCAAAAGTAGAATAAGTTCAACCTCCGTTTACCGGAAATCGCTGAAAAGTTAATACAGAACTTCAATTTTATATAATACTTGTATATGAAATTTCAACCGAGCTGTAACGGTACTCAATTTATCGTGTTCATACACACACAGACATACGGATTAAATTGCAAAGCCCAGTTTTTCTGTGCACAAATACAATACTACCTCTAAACTATGTATACGAGAGAGTAAAAAGTATATTGTAAATAATATGCAAATTTTGAAACTTTTGAATGCTAAAAAAGGTATGATTTTTCGGACCTTGTAAAACTCTAACTAGTACCTCTTTCAAAAAATTGTCGTAAATATACTGAAATATAAGCCGTTCAAATTTGATTATTATAACTCATTATAAATTGAAAAAAAAGGCTTAGCATTTTTAAAAGCACCAAACAATTCAAAATGGCGGATGTTTTTTTTTTTTTTTGGCTTCCATGACAACTAAAATTGTTTTTAACCATTTTTTAGCTATTTAATACTAAATTTTATCTGCAAAAAAGGGAAAAGTATTCAAAAGGCTTTAGATCTGATATTTTCAAAAAGAGACAAAAAAAAAACGGAGCATATCCCCTTAAACTTAAATATATCAGCAGGGCCGATATTTGATAATTATAATTGTATATTCAAAGATAATGTAAACTTCAACTTCAACTTCAACTTCAACTTCAAATACAACTTCGAATTCTTAGTTTTACTTTCGCTTTTGCTTTTGCTTTTGCCTTTTGCTTTTTGCTTTTGATTTTCCTTTTCCTTTTCCTTTTCCCTTTACCTTTGCCTTTGCCTTTGCCTTTGCCTTTACCTTTGCGTTTGCGTTTGCGTTTGCGTTTGCGTTGGCGTTGGCGTTGGCGTTTTACTTTTACTTTTACTTTTACTTTCACTTTTACTTTTACTTTTACTTTTACTTTTACTTTTACTTTTACTTTTACTTTTACTTTTACTTTTACTTTTACTTTTACTTTTACTTTTACTTTTACTTTTACTTTTACTTTTACTTTTACTTTTACTTTTACTTTTACTTTTACTTTTACTTTTACTTTTACTTTTACTTTTACTTTTACTTTTACTTTTACTTTTACTTTTACTTTTACTTTTACTTTTACTTTTACTTTTACTTTTACTTTTACTTTTACTTTTACTTTTACTTTTACTTTTACTTTTACTTTTACTTTTACTTTTACTTTTACTTTTACTTTTACTTTTACTTTTACTTTTACTTTTACTTTTACTTTTACTTTTACTTTTACTTTTACTTTTACTTTTACTTTTACTTTTACTTTTACTTTTACTTTTACTTTTACTTTTACTTTTACTTTTACTTTTACTTTTACTTTTACTTTTACTTTTACTTTTACTTTTACTTTTACTTTTACTTTTACTTTTACTTTTACTTTTACTTTTACTTTTACTTTTACTTTTACTTTTACTTTTACTTTTACTTTTACTTTTACTTTTACTTTTACTTTTACTTTTACTTTTACTTTTACTTTTACTTTTACTTTTACTTTTACTTTTACTTTTACTTTTACTTTTACTTTTACTTTTACTTTTACTTTTACTTTTACTTTTACTTTTACTTTTACTTTTACTTTTACTTTTACTTTTACTTTTACTTTTACTTTTACTTTTACTTTTACTTTTACTTTTACTTTTACTTTTACTTTTACTTTTACTTTTACTTTTACTTTTACTTTTACTTTTACTTTTACTTTTACTTTTACTTTTACTTTTACTTTTACTTTTACTTTTACTTTTACTTTTACTTTTACTTTTACTTTTACTTTTACTTTTACTTTTACTTTTACTTTTACTTTTACTTTTACTTTTTACTTTTTACTTTTTACTTTTTACTTTTACTTTTACTTTTACTTTTACTTTTACTTTTTACTTTTTACTTTTACTTTTACTTTTACTTTTACTTTTACTTTTACTTTTACTTTTACTTTTACTTTTACTTTTACTTTTACTTTTACTTTTACTTTTACTTTTACTTTTACTTTTACTTTTACTTTTACTTTTACTTTTACTTTTACTTTTACTTTTACTTTTACTTTTACTTTTACTTTTACTTTTACTTTTACTTTTACTTTTTACTTTTACTTTTACTTTTACTTTTACTTTTACTTTTACTTTTACTTTTTACTTTTTACTTTTACTTTTACTTTTACTTTTACTTTTACTTTTACTTTTACTTTTACTTTTACTTTTACTTTTACTTTTACTTTTACTTTTACTTTTACTTTTACTTTTACTTTTACTTTTACTTTTACTTTTACTTTTACTTTTACTTTTACTTTTACTTTTACTTTTACTTTTACTTTTACTTTTACTTTTACTTTTACTTTTACTTTTACTTTTACTTTTACTTTTACTTTTACTTTTACTTTTACTTTTACTTTTACTTTTACTTTTACTTTTACTTTTACTTTTACTTTTACTTTTACTTTTACTTTTACTTTTACTTTTACTTTTACTTTTACTTTTACTTTTACTTTTACTTTTACTTTTACTTTTACTTTTACTTTTACTTTTACTTTTACTTTTACTTTTACTTTTACTTTTACTTTTACTTTTACTTTTACTTTTACTTTTACTTTTACTTTTACTTTTACTTTTACTTTTACTTTTACTTTTACTTTTACTTTTACTTTTACTTTTACTTTTACTTTTACTTTTACTTTTACTTTTACTTTTACTTTTACTTTTACTTTTACTTTTACTTTTACTTTTACTTTTACTTTTACTTTTACTTTTACTTTTACTTTTACTTTTACTTTTACTTTTACTTTTACTTTTACTTTTACTTTTACTTTTACTTTTACTTTTACTTTTACTTTTACTTTTACTTTTACTTTTACTTTTACTTTTACTTTTACTTTTACTTTTACTTTTACTTTTACTTTTACTTTTACTTTTACTTTTACTTTTACTTTTACTTTTACTTTTACTTTTACTTTTACTTTTACTTTTACTTTTACTTTTACTTTTACTTTTACTTTTACTTTTACTTTTACTTTTACTTTTACTTTTACTTTTACTTTTACTTTTACTTTTACTTTTACTTTTACTTTTACTTTTACTTTTACTTTTACTTTTACTTTTACTTTTACTTTTACTTTTACTTTTACTTTTACTTTTACTTTTACTTTTACTTTTACTTTTACTTTTACTTTTACTTTTACTTTTACTTTTACTTTTACTTTTACTTTTACTTTTACTTTTACTTTTACTTTTACTTTTACTTTTACTTTTACTTTTACTTTTACTTTTACTTTTACTTTTACTTTTACTTTTACTTTTACTTTTACTTTTACTTTTACTTTTACTTTTACTTTTACTTTTACTTTTACTTTTACTTTTACTTTTACTTTTACTTTTACTTTTACTTTTACTTTTACTTTTACTTTTACTTTTACTTTTACTTTTACTTTTACTTTTACTTTTACTTTTACTTTTACTTTTACTTTTACTTTTACTTTTACTTTTACTTTTACTTTTACTTTTACTTTTACTTTTACTTTTACTTTTACTTTTACTTTTACTTTTACTTTTACTTTTACTTTTACTTTTACTTTTACTTTTACTTTTACTTTTACTTTTACTTTTACTTTTACTTTTACTTTTACTTTTACTTTTACTTTTACTTTTACTTTTACTTTTACTTTTACTTTTACTTTTACTTTTACTTTTACTTTTACTTTTACTTTTACTTTTACTTTTACTTTTACTTTTACTTTTACTTTTACTTTTACTTTTACTTTTACTTTTACTTTTACTTTTACTTTTACTTTTACTTTTACTTTTACTTTTACTTTTACTTTTACTTTTACTTTTACTTTTACTTTTACTTTTACTTTTACTTTTACTTTTACTTTTACTTTTACTTTTACTTTTACTTTTACTTTTACTTTTACTTTTACTTTTACTTTTACTTTTACTTTTACTTTTACTTTTACTTTTACTTTTACTTTTACTTTTACTTTTACTTTTACTTTTACTTTTACTTTTACTTTTACTTTTACTTTTACTTTTACTTTTACTTTTACTTTTACTTTTACTTTTACTTTTACTTTTACTTTTACTTTTACTTTTACTTTTACTTTTACTTTTACTTTTACTTTTACTTTTACTTTTACTTTTACTTTTACTTTTACTTTTACTTTTACTTTTACTTTTACTTTTACTTTTACTTTTACTTTTACTTTTACTTTTACTTTTACTTTTACTTTTACTTTTACTTTTACTTTTACTTTTACTTTTACTTTTACTTTTACTTTTACTTTTACTTTTACTTTTACTTTTACTTTTACTTTTACTTTTACTTTTACTTTTACTTTTACTTTTACTTTTACTTTTACTTTTACTTTTACTTTTACTTTTACTTTTACTTTTACTTTTACTTTTTACTTTTACTTTTACTTTTACTTTTACTTTTACTTTTACTTTTACTTTTACTTTTACTTTTACTTTTACTTTTACTTTTACTTTTACTTTTACTTTTACTTTTACTTTTACTTTTACTTTTACTTTTACTTTTACTTTTACTTTTACTTTTACTTTTACTTTTACTTTTACTTTTACTTTTACTTTTACTTTTACTTTTACTTTTACTTTTACTTTTACTTTTACTTTTACTTTTACTTTTACTTTTACTTTTACTTTTACTTTTACTTTTACTTTTACTTTTACTTTTACTTTTACTTTTACTTTTACTTTTACTTTTACTTTTACTTTTACTTTTACTTTTACTTTTACTTTTACTTTTACTTTTACTTTTACTTTTACTTTTACTTTTACTTTTACTTTTACTTTTACTTTTACTTTTACTTTTACTTTTACTTTTACTTTTACTTTTACTTTTACTTTTACTTTTACTTTTACTTTTACTTTTACTTTTACTTTTACTTTTACTTTTACTTTTACTTTTACTTTTACTTTTACTTTTACTTTTACTTTTACTTTTACTTTTACTTTTACTTTTACTTTTACTTTTACTTTTACTTTTACTTTTACTTTTACTTTTACTTTTACTTTTACTTTTACTTTTACTTTTACTTTTACTTTTACTTTTACTTTTACTTTTACTTTTACTTTTACTTTTACTTTTACTTTTACTTTTACTTTTACTTTTACTTTTACTTTTACTTTTACTTTTACTTTTACTTTTACTTTTACTTTTACTTTTACTTTTACTTTTACTTTTACTTTTACTTTTACTTTTACTTTTACTTTTACTTTTACTTTTACTTTTACTTTTACTTTTACTTTTACTTTTACTTTTACTTTTACTTTTACTTTTACTTTTACTTTTACTTTTACTTTTACTTTTACTTTTACTTTTACTTTTACTTTTGCTTTTGCTTTTGCTTTTGCTTTTGCTTTTACTTTTACTTTTGCTTTTACTTTTACTTTTACTTTTACTTTTACTTTTGCTTTTACTTTTACTTTTACTTTTACTTTTACTTTTACTTTTACTTTTACTTTTACTTTTACTTTTACTTTTACTTTTACTTTTACTTTTACTTTTACTTTTGCTTTTGCTTTTGCTTTTGCTTTTACTTTTACTTTTACTTTTACTTTTGCTTTTACTTTTACTTTTACTTTTACTTTTACTTTTACTTTTACTTTTACTTTTACTTTTACTTTTACTTTTACTTTTACTTTTACTTTTACTTTTACTTTTACTTTTACTTTTACTTTTACTTTTACTTTTACTTTTACTTTTACTTTTACTTTTACTTTTGCTTTTGCTTTTGCTTTTACTTTTACTTTTACTTTTACTTTTGCTTTTGCTTTTACTTTTGCTTTTACTTTTACTTTTACTTTTACTTTTACTTTTACTTTTACTTTTACTTTTACTTTTACTTTTACTTTTACTTTTACTTTTACTTTTACTTTTACTTTTACTTTTACTTTTACTTTTACTTTTACTTTTACTTTTACTTTTACTTTTACTTTTACTTTTACTTTTACTTTTACTTTTTCTTTTTCTTTTACTTTTACTTTTACTTTTACTTTTACTTTTACTTTTACTTTTACTTTTACTTTTACTTTTACTTTTACTTTTACTTTTACTTTTACTTTTACTTTTACTTTTACTTTTACTTTTACTTTTACTTTTACTTTTACTTTTACTTTTACTTTTACTTTTACTTTTACTTTTACTTTTACTTTTACTTTTACTTTTACTTTTACTTTTACTTTTACTTTTACTTTTACTTTTACTTTTACTTTTACTTTTACTTTTGCTTTTGCTTTTACTTTTACTTTTACTTTTACTTTTACTTTTGCTTTTGCTTTTACTTTTACTTTTACTTTTACTTTTACTTTTACTTTTGCTTTTACTTTTACTTTTACTTTTACTTTTACTTTTGCTTTTGCTTTTACTTTTACTTTTACTTTTACTTTTACTTTTACTTTTACTTTTACTTTTACTTTTACTTTTACTTTTACTTTTACTTTTACTTTTACTTTTACTTTTACTTTTACTTTTACTTTTACTTTTACTTTTACTTTTACTTTTACTTTTACTTTTGCTTTTACTTTTACTTTTACTTTTACTTTTACTTTTGCTTTTGCTTTTACTTTTACTTTTGCTTTTGCTTTTACTTTTACTTTTGCTTTTACTTTTACTTTTACTTTTGCTTTTGCTTTTACTTTTACTTTTACTTTTACTTTTACTTTTACTTTTACTTTTACTTTTACTTTTACTTTTACTTTTACTTTTACTTTTACTTTTACTTTTACTTTTACTTTTACTTTTACTTTTACTTTTACTTTTACTTTTACTTTTACTTTTACTTTTACTTTTACTTTTACTTTTACTTTTACTTTTACTTTTACTTTTACTTTTACTTTTACTTTTGCTTTTACTTTTACTTTTACTTTTACTTTTGCTTTTGCTTTTGCTTTTACTTTTACTTTTACTTTTACTTTTACTTTTGCTTTTGCTTTTGCTTTTACTTTTACTTTTACTTTTACTTTTACTTTTGCTTTTGCTTTTACTTTTACTTTTACTTTTACTTTTACTTTTACTTTTACTTTTACTTTTACTTTTACTTTTACTTTTACTTTTACTTTTACTTTTGCTTTTGCTTTTGCTTTTGCTTTTACTTTTACTTTTACTTTTACTTTTACTTTTACTTTTACTTTTACTTTTACTTTTACTTTTACTTTTACTTTTACTTTTACTTTTACTTTTACTTTTACTTTTACTTTTACTTTTACTTTTACTTTTACTTTTACTTTTACTTTTACTTTTACTTTTACTTTTACTTTTACTTTTACTTTTACTTTTACTTTTACTTTTACTTTTACTTTTACTTTTACTTTTACTTTTACTTTTACTTTTACTTTTACTTTTACTTTTACTTTTACTTTTACTTTTACTTTTACTTTTACTTTTACTTTTACTTTTACTTTTACTTTTACTTTTACTTTTACTTTTACTTTTACTTTTACTTTTACTTTTACTTTTACTTTTACTTTTACTTTTACTTTTACTTTTACTTTTACTTTTACTTTTACTTTTACTTTTACTTTTACTTTTACTTTTACTTTTACTTTTACTTTTACTTTTACTTTTACTTTTACTTTTACTTTTACTTTTACTTTTACTTTTACTTTTACTTTTACTTTTACTTTTACTTTTACTTTTACTTTTACTTTTACTTTTACTTTTACTTTTACTTTTACTTTTACTTTTACTTTTACTTTTACTTTTACTTTTACTTTTACTTTTACTTTTACTTTTACTTTTACTTTTACTTTTACTTTTACTTTTACTTTTACTTTTACTTTTACTTTTACTTTTACTTTTACTTTTACTTTTACTTTTACTTTTACTTTTACTTTTACTTTTACTTTTACTTTTACTTTTACTTTTACTTTTACTTTTACTTTTACTTTTACTTTTACTTTTACTTTTACTTTTACTTTTACTTTTACTTTTACTTTTACTTTTACTTTTACTTTTACTTTTACTTTTACTTTTACTTTTACTTTTACTTTTACTTTTACTTTTACTTTTACTTTTACTTTTACTTTTACTTTTACTTTTACTTTTACTTTTACTTTTACTTTTACTTTTACTTTTACTTTTACTTTTACTTTTACTTTTACTTTTACTTTTACTTTTACTTTTACTTTTACTTTTACTTTTACTTTTACTTTTACTTTTACTTTTACTTTTACTTTTACTTTTACTTTTACTTTTACTTTTACTTTTACTTTTACTTTTACTTTTACTTTTACTTTTACTTTTACTTTTACTTTTACTTTTACTTTTACTTTTACTTTTACTTTTACTTTTACTTTTACTTTTACTTTTACTTTTACTTTTACTTTTACTTTTACTTTTACTTTTACTTTTACTTTTACTTTTACTTTTACTTTTACTTTTACTTTTACTTTTACTTTTACTTTTACTTTTACTTTTACTTTTACTTTTACTTTTACTTTTACTTTTACTTTTACTTTTACTTTTACTACTTTTACTTTTACTTTTACTTTTACTTTTACTTTTACTTTTACTTTTACTTTTACTTTTACTTTTACTTTTACTTTTACTTTTACTTTTACTTTTACTTTTACTTTTACTTTTACTTTTACTTTTACATAAACAGGAGTGTAGGCTGTACGGTTGTGGAAATGATAACAGGAAATCCACCAAACTCTTCATTGAATCCAGTACAGATTGCATTTCGAATTAGAGCGAAAAAACCTTTGATGTACGAACTTCCCAAGCCGACATCTGTGGAATTAAAACAGTTTTTGGACAAAACCTTTCAATGGGAGGCAGACCAACGACCATCTGCTGATTTGTTGCTCACAAACCACCCTTTCTTATGCGAAAAGAAGATGATAAAGTATATTCAAAACATTTTATGTCATGTGCTTTCTCTGTTTGTCGTGCTTTTTACTTGCTTTGTCCTTCATGGGTCGAAACTTGCGATTACTTCTATTGGTCTGATTTCTTTTGAACTAGGTTTGTTGGTCAAATCCAGGTAACAAGCAATGCGCCATAAAATTTCACTTAATTAAGTGTTTAATTATTATTTTTTTTAGAATTGTTTCCTATATAAAGTAATAATTTTAGCGCACTATCAATACAAATCGGCGAATTCAATTGTTGCGCCGAATTTTTAAATTATTGAACTTTTAAAATTTCTATGTATAACTCTCTTCATGGACAACTCGACGCAGGTAGCCGACTATCTAACCGTCCTCCCGCGTCTCCCTCTATCTCCATTCTGGTGAGCTGTGATTCTCGTCTAATGTAGATCCGGGTCGAATTAGTGACGGCTAATGGGGGCAGATAATTTAGTTTCTAAACGATTTGAAACTAAGGAGACGCCGCTTCTACGAGTAGCGGGGGGGGGGGGGGGGTGGAATAATCGTCCTTCACGAGCTACTAATAGTGTTTTAAAGCAAATAGAAATTGGTCAAAACTGAGTTCCAAGTTTTTTTCACAAAACAACAAAGTTATACAGCAAGAAGATTTTGTATTGAGTATAAACAATTATTAAATAAATAGTTATAACAATATGTGTCGAAATTGTATTTTTCCATTCCATAACGGGCGACACATTATTATGATATATTAAACTTGTTGGCTTTCTCGTTATATAAAACCAAAAAACAGACCGACCCCACTCTAATAAAATATGCCATAGTCAAAGCTGATACAACACCAACTATTTCTTACTGTTTAAAATAATGGACCTGAATTTATCTGACATGAATTTAAATTTTAAAAAAATCAATATACATGCAAGTTATTATTTATTCAACTGTAATAAATTACCAAAGGCAGAGTTTAGTATACCTCACCAGGCTGAAAAAGATCAGAGTAGATTTGGCAGGGGCGTTGCTAAGGGAGGGCGGGTGGTGTAGCAGCTCTGTGCGCCGGTCCTTGATCGTCGACCATGACCTAGGAGCAGATAACTAAATTTTAGAGATCAAAAGCTACTGATCGGGTTTTAACGCAAATGAGTCGTCTACTAATGCAACTTCATTTCAAATGAGTTACTAAGATGAGAAAAATAAGACAACTAATAAAGCTTTATATTAACATTATTTTTAATTCTTTGAAAAGAAAAAGTTTTACAAACTAATTTAATTTCTTTACATTAGTTACTACAATATGTAAGAGATCTCATTTGCAAATTACTTTTATTTTCTTTTTTAAGTGTATTTGAAAGCTTGTTATACAAACATTTTAAATTTGCTTAAATAACATCATGCTATACCATTTTTTATTTAAGCTAATCTCTCAAGTGGATGAAACTGATACCTCAAATTACTTTCAAACATTTATGGATTTATCGAAACAGCACTGGTCAAAACTTATCACCATAACGAATGAGGACCTCGTTATAGATTACATTCTCAAAAACATGTATAACGTCACCAAGTGGTTTGAACTCATCGAACAAAGTCAAGTCATAAGTTACCTGCAAAAGATAAACCAAGATGGTCAGGACATTGATATTGTTTTAAGCAAACATTCAAGCCATGAACAATTTAAGGATG